TGTGAGAACAAATCTCTACGAGAAATGTTAAATTTTAAGGGAAAAAAGGCAATTTTACCCGTCGCTGGTTTCTGAAATCACTATGCAAAATCAACACTTGACGCGGAAATGGCATAGAAGCAAACTAGACCGCCAATCCGACTATTACCGTTCGGATACACGTGAAGAAGAAGTTGTGCCTGCGAATTTGTTAAATAAGGTGTAAATTTTGAGAAAAAGTCAATTTATGTCCTTCTTTCCCGAAATTCACGTATTTAGTTAGAAGATTTGCATGAGAAATTGCATTAAAGCAAAGTAGAAAGATCAAGTCCGCACTATTACTTCTTCGGAAATAAACACGTGTAAAGAATTTTGCCGCGAAATTTTCTCGGTTAATCTGAAAGGTTGTGCAAACTTTAGGAAAAAATCAATTTCCCTTATTCTGAATCACGGTATGCCAATACAACACTTTGACGGGAAATTTCATAGAGAAACTTTAGAAACCTCAATCCGACTATTACGTTCGAGAATACACTTTAAAAGAAGTTATGCGGCGAATTTTCTGTTTTTTTAATTTATGTTTTTTTTTTTAAATTAGGTGTTAAATTTTGCAGAAAAAAGTCAACTCGCTCACCTCCTTTCTTAAATCACGTATGTAGGTAGAAGAATTGACGAGAAATTGCTTTAAAAGCCAAACGTAACAAAAATCCCTTAACTTCAACGCTCGGGAATAATACCGCTGAAAGAATTTTGCGCGAAGATTGTCAATTAGGTGCAAAAATTTTTTAAAAAACACTAAATTTCCCCCTTATTTTTCCTGGAAAAATCCACCGCCCAATGCCAAATTCTAGATAGAAACACTGACCGAAAAAAAATCTGCATTAAGCAAACCCTCGCATGTCAATGCGAATATTAGTTTCGAAATAAATACAGAGAAGAAACAAAATTGATCCTAAATTTCAGAATTGCCGTGGAAAAAAAAATAAAAAAAAAGGAAATTTCCGTGCTTCCCCTCCTCAAATTACGAATGTAAGTACCAACTTCTCAAAGACACATTCAGTAAAGAGACCACCACACTTCAATTCCGACTATTAGTTTGAAATACACCGTGGAATACAAAATTGCATCCTAAAATTCTTGATGCTTTCGAGAAAATTAAAAAGAAAAAAAATAAATTTTCGCCAGCTTTCCCTCTCCTAACATTACGTATATATTAGACAGTACAACTCTGTACGACCAAAGTTCAATTTAATGCCCCAAAAGCCAGACTTCAATCCAAAAATTAGTTGTTCAAAATTACACAATAAAAACAAAAGTAACCCTAAAATGCAGAATTTTCGTGGCACAAAAATTTAAAAAAAAAAAGAATTTTCGTAGCTGTTTTCTGCTAAAATTAACATAGTGGATACAACTCTGAGGAGAAATTCAATATGATGGAAAAACCAGACTCATTCCGACTATTAGGTTCCGGAAATTACCCCGTGAAAAACAAATTGATTCCTAAATTACAAGTTAATATTCTGAAAAAAATGGAAAAAAAAAAAAATTTCGAGCTTTTATTGTTTAAATTACATCATGTGCCAGAACACTCTGACACGAGATAAAGTTCAATGAAGTGAAAACCACACTTCATTCGCTGACTTAGTTTGGCGAAATACCCCGTGAAACAAATTACTGATCCTAAATTTCAGATCCAACCTTCAAGACGTGTGAAAAAAAAAGGAAAAAATTAAATTTGTAGCTTTTCTTAGAATTACATATGTGAGAACATTCCTGTACGAGAAATTCAATATGAAAACCAGACTTTCATCTTTGACTATTAGTTTCGAAATACCCGTGAAAAAATTGATTCCTATCAAGTCGTGAAAAAAAATGAAAAAAGTAAATTCGTAGTTTTCTCTTGAAATACATATGTGAGTACCATCTGTACGAGAAAGTAGGGTTGGCCATTAATGCAAACTATAACTTTCATTCGCACTATTAGTTCGGGGGAAATACACCTTGAAACAATATTGATTCCAAATAATATATTTCGAATAAAAATGTTGAAAGAATAATTTATCGTAGCTTTCTGTCTAAATCTATGTGTGTTGCAAGTCGATAAACGAGGAAATTCAATAATGAAAACCACGACTTCATTCCGGACTATTAGTTTTGGAAATACCCGTTGAAAAACATAATGATCCAAAATTCAGATGATTTCGTAAAAAAATATGAAAAAATTATTGTATGTTAGCTTTGTCTTGAAATTACATATGCGAAGTACATCTTCTGTACCCGATAAATTCAATTAATGAAAACCAGACTTCATCTGACTCGTAGTTTTCCCGAAATATGCACGTGAAAACCAAAATTGATCCTAAAATCCAGATATTCCCCTTTTCTGAAGGAAAATGGGAGAAAAGTTAAATAGTCGGTAAGCTTTTCTCTGAACATACATATGTGAGTACCAATTTCGTACGAGAAAATTCATGGATAGAAACCAGATTTTGGTTCGGACTATTAGTTTCGAAATACCCGTGAAAAAAAAAATTGATCCTAATTCAGGTTAATTCGTGAAAAAGAGTGAAAAAATTATCGTAGCTTTCTCGAAAATTACATTAGTGTGAGTAAAAACTCTGTACGAGAAATTCAATGATGAAACCAGACTTCATTTTGACTACTAGTGGAATCCTGTTGCCATAAATGATCTAATCAGATTTTTGAAAGTAACTTCGTTTTCTGAAATACATGTTACACACTCGTTAGAGAAATCCAATTAAACAGATTCATGACATAGTTGATACGATGAAACAAATGTCCAATAAAATTAACTCTTACCTGAAATATATAATGAAAAAAAAATTCGAGCTTTTCCTCTGTTAAATTACATAAGTATTTAGAACGGCTGTACGAGAAATTCCAATGATAAAACTAGACCTTCATCTCTGACTATGTAGTTTCCGGAAATACCGCTGAACAAATTATCCCTAAATTAAGATATTTCGTGAAAAAAATGGACAAAAAGAAATTTCGCCAGCTTTATTTGAAATTACATATAGTGAGATACAACTCTGTACGAGAAATTTCAATGATGAAAACCAGACTTCATTCCCGGACTATTAGTTTTCGGAAATACGCCGTGAAACAAATATTATCCTTAAATTAAGATAAATTCATGAAAAAAATGGAAAAAATAAATTTCGTAGCTTTTCTCTTAAATTACATATATGTAGTACATTTCTGTACGAGAAATTCAATTTATGAAAACCAGGACTTCAAATTCTGATGTATTAGTTTCGGAAAGACCCGTGCAAACAGGATTTATCTAAAGTCGTAAAAAAAATGGAAAAAAAAGTAAATATCGTAGATTCTCTCTGAAATTTACATATGTGAGACAAGTCTGCTACGAGAAAAGTCAATAATGCAAAACTAAACTTTATTCGACTATTAGTGTCGGAAAAATACACTTAAACAAAATTTATTCTAAAATTTATATATTTCGTGAATAAAATGAAAAGAATTCAATTTTGTAGCCTTCTCCATAAATTGTATGTTGCTGTGGTAAGTTACTGTACGAAAATTATAATGCCAAACCAACTTTCATCCGACTATAGTTTTGGAAATACACTTGAAAGAAGATGCCGCGAATTTTGTTAATTAGTTGTAAATTTTGAAAAAAAAAATCAATTTTTTCCCTGTTTCTTGAAAATTACGTAATGTAGGTTTAGAAACGTGGGAAATTGTATAAAGCAAACTAACCTCAATCCTACTGAATTACTATCTAGTGAAGACACGGTAAAAGAAGTTTGCGCGCGAATTTTTTGTTAATTAGGTGCAAAATTTTTTGAAAAATGTTTCAAATTTTTATGCAAATTAGAACA